GCTAATATATATTACGTGAAGATAAATCGATAATTGAGAAATATCTGAGCTGGGCCGACAAAGATGTAAAATATTACAAGGAAGTAGAAAAGAGGATAAAATCCCTAGAGACACAAAGAACTGTTGCCGTAGTTGCTTTTGTTGTCTTCATCATTCCACTGGTACTTGCACAGCTATACGTGTATGTAGTGTCAATGTCAGTCATGTTGGACGTGCGAGCATTCCCTAGCAGGTGATGATGAGCGTGCCATAGGCGTGTAAAGCGGTGGTAGTCTGTGAGGAAGAGAGAGGTGCACTGTGCGCGGTGTGCACTCATGAGTGAGGGAATGTCTGGCCCCGCGAGACCTTCCTGCTTCATTATCGCACCATGGCAGAGACCAGGAGCTTCCCACCAGACTTGGAGCGAACTGCATGGTAAGCACCGGAAGAGAGTTTTGTCTATTTATGTTGTTCACAGATCTAGTTGCATGGACAACCTCGATCACTGCAAGGAATGTTTGGAATGTGAGCCACAAAGAGCTACATGAGCTGTGAGCTCACATACCTATAGTTTCCTGGTCAGACCTACACACACATAGCTTTGACTATACAGTGAAATAGAGTCGAAACACGTATGAACAGGAGGAGACTGCCGGGAGGGCTCAGCCCAATAACTGTAGTCATGCCTTAGTAGCTACTCCATGCATGCAAAACACATTTTATGAGCGCTACTAGTGCATATAGCGGCCAGCGACGCAGTCTCGCTCCATACCCAGTGTCAGAGTCAATAAGTGTTCATTTTCACAGTGGGATAAACTAACAAAACGAAGGAAGAATCCAGAGCTTAGTACGATCTAACGACTCCGGCTGCAATAGGCCGTGTCGATGTGTTCAGTTTCACAGATGGCCAGTACTTTCCTCCATATTGACTGGCCAGCATCGATTCCAAACAGAGCGTTGGCTGTGGCGTCGCACTGAGCAATGCTGTTGATATGATCGTGGCCAACCTCGATCCACTGTCCAATGCACGGCTTGAGGCAACGGTAGAGCTTGTTGCCGGTGCTTATGGCAAAGATATCGTAGGGACCAGACGCAGTCACGTGTGTGAAACCAGCAGATATGTGTCGCCAATTTTTGCTTCCATCGACAGGCCGACAAAACAGATTGTTATCTTTGCTAACCCCGCAAATTTCTCGTTCACCGCCGTCAATCATTTTCAGGCCTCCGGGAATTTTCTTCCAGTTCCCGCCGCCAGCGCATGGTTTCTTGCACCGATAGACGTCGTTGTTTTGGTTGGTTCCCACACGTATCCGTTGCCGGAAGGCGAGACGTGAATCAGTTTCCCGGGAATTTCTTTCCAGGCTCTGCTGCCGTCAACATGTCGAACCCAGATGTCCTGGTTACCGTTCACGCCCCAAACAAACTCATCGTCGACGTCCAGCTGCGTCAACGCTCCGTCAATTGATTTCCAAGCGCCGGTGCACGGGCGTGGGCAGAGGTAGATTTTGTTCCCCTTGTCTCGACCCCAGATGTAGTTGAGGTTGCCTGAAACTTGGACTAGACCTCACGGAATTTGCGTCCATAGGTGTTTAATCAACCTTAGAATACTATACACACCCTTAGAGTAATGTGATCACTACAAAAAGCTATGCCATCGTATGTGTTTCTTAATTTTCCTCAATTTGATTGACACACCTACATACTGCAGTGTAGTAACACTCACAAGCTAGCTTTCCCTGGCACGTCTATATTATTATAATTATGAACATACAAAATGCAGACAATGGGTAAGTAATGAGTTTAAGTGTTGCAATAGTTGAGGGAGGTATATAGGTATGTATAAAGAGTCATATTGACACGTAAGTTTGTACTGGTGATATGAGATGAGTCATGGCAAGGGGTCTAATATGAAGATTATAGATGAGGGAGGTATATATAATATAAGCAGTGAGCAGTCATTTAGATACTGCATGAGACAGGGAGTTGAGGGAACTACGCAGTCGTTCAATGACCATTCAATGTTTTATTCATGGTAAGAGTTGAAAACACATCAGGCATTCAATGTTATGATGATATGCATGGAAACACGTTTTGTGAAAAGTGTTGCGCAATACATCAGGAGTCGGTAAGGCTGGTATTGGCGAGTAGGAAAGAGTTTAGTGAAGTAAGAAATGCTCTTTGAGAAGGAGAGAGACTGCCCAGCCTGCCTGTGAGTCCGCCAGAGATGACTTCCTCCACTCCCCTTCTCCCACACCTCAGGAGGTCTCCCAGGTTGGCTGACGTCTCAAATGAAAACCAGTTCTTACCGTCCAGGCCTATCACCACCTTACCTCCATCTGAAGACAGTTACAGACACACTATACGTCTTGAACCACTGAATAAAGAACACTTTGGAGGAGTTCCTCTCTGCGCCCAGAACACTACAACGCAAGGACCCTCGGGATTGTACTGTACATAGATATCATGGACTCAATGTCCAACTAAAAGTCTTCATTATAAGTTTATAAAAAAGGGTATTTTTGCTTGCATACCAATGTGCAGCAATCCCCGACTATATGGTTACTATTACAATGCGGAAAAACCAGTCATCCATTAATCATCTATTAGGACACTCAGTCTCAAATGGACATAAGGCTACACATACATTTAATTTGTTGCTCTATTGGTTCAAAACAAATCAACATAGCATCAAACGCTAAATCTATTTTTTTTACGGGTGCGAGGATGCAGTTTGCTAAGTATTTTCAAATGCACGCACACACACGCATGCACACACGCAGCAGACACACACACAAAGTAAAAAAAGAAGCAGACCTTCACTAATGACGTCCAGAGATCGGCCGGCAAACAGCAGTAATGTTAGAGGGCTAATGAGGGTGCAGTCTCGAATAAACACCTTACTGGTCTTCACCTGCGGCACAAAGGGGTTAACGTGAAAATTAAAATCACCTATTTTACTAACCACACCCACTTGCCACACCCCCTAGCAACAGCCTTCCTCCCCTCTCACGGCAGCTTTCTCGTTTCTTGTCTCCTCAAAATACTATTTTCGAGGGGTTTGTTTATCATTCTGTGGTTGCCATGGCACCACAGAGGGGAGGAAGGGTGAGCTCCACCCCCTGCCTCCTCCCACGTGCCACGCCCACCTTCTCGTAGTAGACAAACCAGTTGGACGGGAAATTCTTCTCCGAGTTGACGGAAGAAGGATGGATGAACACCCGACCATCTTGACTGCAAAGAAAATTTGCAGACAAGCGCCCATAATTTTAGTCTAAACCAAATTTTGTAATAGCCATAATAATTATAATACCAACCTTGTGAGAAGGACCAAAACTGATATTTTCAACTACATCCTTCAGGAGACAATGCAACACCCAAACTTGCCTCCCTCCCTCCCTCCCTCCTCTCCTCTTTCTCCCACCGACTCACATGGTCTTAAACCCAGTCCGAACCCTCTTCCTCTGAGTCTGACTGGTGGAACTACGATATCCTCCACTCTCCAACATCTTTGCCATCTTCATCACGTTCCGGTCCAGCCCGGCAGTCAGTACGGCTCGCACCATCGGCTCGCTGCTGGAGAACACGTTGTATTGGTTGAATTCCGTCAGACCGAGATCTTCCAGGTGCCTTCTGAACTGCCCTCGCAGACCTAATGGGAAGAGAGAGGAGAGAGAGAGAGAGAGAGAAAGGAGAAGATCGAGTAATAGCAGCCATAATGCAACTAAAATACTTCCCTGGTTATATGAAAACCACTAAATTGGTTTAGCTGGCTTTCTAGTTGACTGCACTCTATTATTGTGAAATGTTGCTCTTAAACAACGGGTATTTTTCCACAAAGTTATACCACCAAGAATATATAGTAAAACTTCAGGATTTTAGAAGAGGGGGGATTTAGGACCTTCTATCATGTGAAGAGTCCCTCGGTGAAGAAAGTTGTCCCTCACAAACGTGGCCTCAGTTCCCTCCCTCTTTGCCTCCTGCCACTTCTCGTAGGCCTTGATCACCAGGAGATGGTCGCTATAGCAACCCCCCGCCATCACCGAACGGACCTGGGACCAGAGAATCAATGTCTGTAAACTCTCAAAAGATTAACGTAGAATACGTAATTCTGTCCCTTGTAGAGAGGTCATCCCTAGCTATCTCGGGAGTCAAATGCACACTAAAGTATTAGCATGGGGTTGAAACAAGTGTCTTTTGTAGGAGAGGTCGTCCCTATCTCGGAGGTCAAATGCACACTAAAGTATTAGCATGGGGTTGAAACAAGTGTCCTTTGTAGAGAGGTCGTCCCTATCTCGGAGGTCAAATGCACACTAAAGTATTAGCATGGGGTTGAAACAAGTGTCCTTTGTAGAGAGGTCGTCCCTATCTCGGAGGTCAAATGCACACTAAAGTATTAGCATGGGGTTGAAACAAGTGTCCTTTGTAGAGAGGTCGTCCCTATCTCGGAGGTCAAATGCACACTAAAGTATAGCATGGGGTTGAAACAAGTGTCCTTGTAGAGAGGTCGTCCCTATCTCGGAGGTCAAATGCACACTAAAGTATTAGCATGGGGTTGAAACAAGAGTGTCCCTTGTAGAGAGGTCGTCCCTATCTCGGAGGTCAAATGCACACTAAAGTATTAGCATGGGGTTGAAACAAGTGTCCTTTGTAGAGAGGTCGTCCCTATCTCGGAGGTCAAATGCACACTAAAGTATTAGCATGGGGTTGAAACAAGAGTGTCCCTTGTAGAGAGGTCGTCCCTATCTCGGAGGTCAAATGCACACTAAAGTATTAGCATGGGGTTGAAACAAGTGTCCTTTGTAGAGAGGTCGTCCCTATCTCGGAGGTCAAATGCACACTAAAGTATTAGCATGGGGTTGAAACAAGAGTGTCCCTTGTAGAGAGGTCGTCCCTATCTCGGAGGTCAAATGCACACTAAAGTATTAGCATGGGGTTGAAACAAGAGTGTCCCTTGTAGAGAGGTCGTCCCTATCTCGGAGGTCAAATGCACACTAAAGTATTAGCATGGGGTTGAAACAAGAGTGTCCCTTGTAGAGAGGTCGTCCCTATCTCGGAGGTCAAATGCACACTAAAGTATTAGCATGGGGTTGAAACAAGAGTGTCCTAGAAAGGTCGTCACTATCTCGAAGGGTCCCTTATCAGAGGTTCCACTGTAATATGTACACATCTTTACCTCGTCAGCCTGCTGTCGTTTAGTGGGTGGATTGACGAAAGGATCTCTGTGACCCATACTAGCTGCGATGGTGAGAATTGGGTCTAAGGCCCCCAGGACGGCTCCCAGCAACACTAGTCTCCCTATCACTGGCTCTATGGGGAGCTCAGCCAGCACCTTCCCCATTGGAGTAAGACTCTCCTGTGGACGAACAGGGATGATGAGGTGAGAGAGTCTGGCGACAAAGACAACGGAAAAATCAAGTGTTTTAATAAAATTCTTACAGCATCGTCAAGGGCTCCAAGATCATTCAACACATCCACAGCACTACCGACTGTTGGGAGAAGGAAACATTTGTGGTTACGTAATCATAAAAGTATGGCGAAATGAACAGTTGTTGTTTGGGAAATAATATTCACAGTTAAAACTGCCGAAGCTACTGACGGTCAAATGAAACAAAAAGACGGAACTGTTGTGGTTTACGAAATGATATCATACCCGCTGAAGCTCTGGGTGGGTTGAGAGCCCGAGACAGAAAGTTGGCCACTTTGTGCCAGGGATTCAGCAACTAAAGGGTTAAACCGAAAACCACATGTCAATATATATTAGGACGTCCTAACTCACCTTGGCTTGCAGGACGAGATCTTCTAGTGGTGTTCGCTGCATCTCCGGCACTTGGTAATCATCTGCACATTACATCATAGTGACGTAATTGGTAAAACTGTATCCATGCCAACCCATCGAGGCGAACTGTTCCTTGGTGAAGAGGTTGTAGGCGTGGCCTGGCTGGCAGCGACCTGCGCGACCTCTACGCTGGATGACGCTGGCTTTACTGGACCACTCGGTTGAGAGATGTGTAATCTAAAGAGATAATGCATACATGTAGTATATATGGGGATAGGAAGCATATTCACAATATTGTAGATATCTTTATCTTTTTTACCATCCCCCTTTAAAATTTGTAGCATTATTTATTTACTTGTCCCACTCATTTTTATTTCTCCACTTATTTTTAACCCCTATAAAATTACGGCAAGACGAGATGGGAATAGGGGCAGTGAGATACAAGAGGCGAGATAGGGACAATGGGAGTTGATAGAGTTCTCACCTTCTTGGTGAGGTCAAAGGTCTTGACCTTCACCGTGCCAGTGTTGACGACGTAAACGACATCGTCAATGGTGACAGACGATTCGGCTATGTTGGTGGCCAGGATCATCTTCCTCACTCCCGGAGGAGGACTAAGGAGGCATGGATAGAAAAGAACAGGGTCAGGTATATAGAATTTGGTAGATTATACAGCCGGGACTTTGTCATAAGGGACACATTGAGACTATTCAAATTGTCGTTTATAGAGAGATGTCCTTTAAATAAAACACAAAAGTATTACCACTGGATCAAAATTAGTGTGTCATTAATAAAGAGGTGTCCCTTACTCACAGAGGTCACAGTGCACACGACAGTGATAGTAGATGGATGGATGGACTTACACATTAAACACTGACTGCTGGTCGCGAGAGGACAGCATGGAGTGAAGCGGCAATATCAGGTAACGCCGGCTCTGGGGAAAATAGAGAGATTCTACGATCACAAAGTAGGGACAATACCATTATGAGTCTCATGCTACCTAAATGTATGGCGAGATGGGGATAGAGAAAGAGAAGGCAAGATAGAGATATACTTTACGTCATCCAACAAAACTGGGTCGCAGTCTACTACAGTTTGCTGACCTCATTTCTGAATCTGTGGTTCAGAAGGTCAGTGACTGACATGATGTCATCCCATCCTGGAAGAAACACCAGAATGGCTCCCTGTGGGGGAAAATAGCAGGGGGCAAAATATCATGCTTTCCTCTCCCTCAATTTTTAGCTTCTCCAAATATTTGAACACCTACCCATTCAAAATTTGTTGCATTTCCCATTCTCCTAAAAATATTTTCCCAGCATCCAATATCGTGACCTCTGACCTCCGGCTGAGTCCTGGCGAGGTAGACAAGGAGACTGGTGACCAGTTCATGGTCCGTTCCAGGGAGGCCCTGGTCCTCCGTCGTCATTCCACGCCAACCAATCAGATTGCAGATCTTGTCCAGGTACATCTCCGTCACCGGGTAACAGTGTCCCTCGACGTTTACACAGGGAACCTCCGTGATGCTGGTCGAGATTAGGGGGTGGAGCTAAAATATAGCCACACCCACCATACAAAACCCTACCCTAATACACTCGGTAGTCGCAATGAATGAATTTTTCCTTATGTTTGCTACAAGGTTTTCAACTATTCAACAAACAATTCCAAGTCATATGAAGCCACACCCACTAGATTAAGCCCCGCCCACTCACCCCGCCCTCCTGTCCATGAAATACTTGACGTAAAGTTGTGCCTCGACGGAGGCAGACATGAGGACGACCTTTGTACCCACGCCAGCTCTCACGATCTCGCGCAGTAGGATGAGGAGGAAGTCAGAGTTGATGTCCCTCTCGTGTACCTCGTCCACGATCACATGACTAACACCTGACAGGAAGTGAGGTCACACGATTGGAGCCATCAGTCATGTGATAAAAAGTGAATGCAATGTGACTATGACAATGAATGGATGGGAAGCCATTTCCAGAGGAAACATTTGAAACCATGTTCTTAAGGAAAATTTCGAGAAGTAGATACAAAAACAGTCATCATACACAACATATGTAGTAATAAAGTAGAAACTGAATGTCACATGACAGGAAGTGGGGATCATGTGATCCCGGTGTGGAATTGGCAGACTGACCTTTCAGAAAAGGATTATTCCTCAGTTTCATGAGGAGGATGCCAGTGGTACAATACAGAATGCGGCCAGGCCGCTTCGGCAGAACAGACTCCAGACGAACCTAGCAACACAGGAATCATGACTGACTGACAGAGTTTCTTGCACTAATAATACAAAGGCAAGGCTATTTCTCGTGGATCAGTCGTGACGTGTTTGAACTGCACTCTCCAGCTATAGTCAA